TCCAGCAGCCCATAGGTAATGGCCAAGCCCTCCCCCTGGAGTGGGGCCAGGAGCTCAGGCTGGAGGGTAAAGGGAGTGTTCTCAGAGCAGTTGAAGTTGGGCTCCAGGATGCTCCTTACCTTGAAGAAACAGTATCAGATGTTACAGGCCAGCCTCTGAGGTCAGGAAGAGAGAACCTTCGGGCCCAAGGGCCAGGGGTCATGCAGGGTGACTGTGGGGGCAGGAGCTCTGGGGTCTCGACTTGTTCCTATATTGCGGTCAGTGTGACCACGGACACGTTGTTGGAAATCACTGAGCACTGGCTCCTCAGCTGATAAATAGGGACACTGACACTTACTCAGCAGAATAGTGGGGTTTGGAATTGTGTGTGTATGCCTGTGTGTGCAATGTGTGTATGTACGCGTCTACACACACATACGTACTTACATATATATGCATACAGAGAGAGAGCGTCCAATTTGCAAATGGTACCCTTGTGAGTACAGCAGGGGTATAACTCAGATACCCTGAGCTCCCCAAACCTGTATTCCTAGATGGCTATTTTAGAACTGGGGGGGCGGAGGGGGGATCTGCAGGGTTGCCATGGAAACTGAGACCTTCCCCAGGTAGACTCATGCCCACTGGGCCTGTTTCCCAGACAGAGATGCAGCTTGGATTTCCCAGGCCCACACCAGGACCTCCCCTCCCCTCCCAGCAGCAACCCGAGTCATCTCTCCTTTCTCAGAACCATTCTTATCCTGCTTCCCTCACTCTTTTCCAGGACGCCGGCCCCTGGGGGTTGCTCACCAGGTCCCTCTGCGGAAGGAGGATCCTCTTCTCCATGGACTGAGCCAGCAGAACATGTTGGATGTCACTCAGCACTGGGGACAGGGGGACATTTGGGGAAAGAGTCAGATGTTCCTGTCCCCACGGTGAACGCAGAGACCTTTAGAAGCGAACTCTGAGGCAGAGGAATAAAACTCGCTGGCGTGAAGGTCAAGTTCCCTGCCCTGGAAAGTCCCCCTTCTGCTCATGCTCATGGGATGGTCTCCAGGAAGCCACCTAACATGGTCCAGGGTGGGCTTCTGTGGCTGGACCTGGCATCACCGCCCACTGATCCGCTGCATGAACCTGGCTGGCCTTGCAGGCCTCAGGCTCTGTCACAGGACAAGCTCATCACACTGAGCCCTGCTGACCTCGGAGAGGCCTGTGATGTGAGGGCGAAAAATCATAGCATGTCAAGGGGTTTGGAGAGGTGACACCTAAGGTAACCCTTTTGGGGCTCTGGGGGACCAACCTTGTGACTCCCCCATTCTTCCTCCAAACCACTCTTACCCATTAAGGTTTCAAGCAGGTAAAGGATGAGGCACTTTGAGCCAACCCCTGGATGGCGGGAGTCCTTTTGCAGTTCAGTTAGGATGGTGCCACCAGGGCCATCCAAATGACCCAAGGGTTCCTGTTCAAGCTATAGGAGACAGGGCTTATTAATGATGGTGATAATAACATCAGTGATTTCGCCTGTAAATTCTGCGTCTACAAGTGATTAACCAAGGAGAGGGGGTAATGGCTCCATGCACCCCCAGGGAACATGGAGCACCCCAGTCTGTGAGGGCTGCCTTCCAGGCCCTGGTCATTGGGCACAGGACATAGTCCCCAACCTCAGAAATCCTTCTCATCCCCCTAAGATTACCCCCATTTTCCTTTCCCCACACATCTTGGCAGCCCTACCTCTGAAACAGCCCCCATTTACAAGACGGATCAAGCTTAGGGAGCGGCGGGGCCCCTCACCATGTCCATGAGGTCCTGAAGAGCCTCGTGGTCCCCAAGCATGGCCAGGAGGTTGGAGAACACAATGTTCTGCATGTCCTAGAGCTCGTCGGCTGCTTTTACGTTCTGGGAAACCTCCTCTTGTAGCAGCTGGAAATCTGCCCCCGGGCATTAATGCCAACCAGAAACAGAGACAATTCTCAGATTAGACCATTCCTTTCCCATCAACATGAGCAAAATTCCTCTTCCCTTCAAGCTGCTGACCCAGAGCATCTCTGAAGATGGCATGGTTGAGCTCTGGGATGAAACCACAATAGACTAAAAAAAAAATGGAGAGTCTCTGCTGAAATGAGGTGGGGATACACGCAAGGATGAGAGGAGAGGATCCTGGAAAGGGTCATGGGAAGAGGAGAAACTGACCAGGTGATTACTTCTGACACGTCGTAAATAATGTGGGTTCTACATTGGACTCCAGAGATGAAAATGTCAGAGATTCTAGCATTGGACTTCAAAATGAGATTGTCATGATAATTATATGAATATATAAAGTGCTCAGTAATACATACAGTTGTGCTTGTATCTTCAAGGTCTATAAGGAATTAACCAGGGAGTGGATGTTGGGGGCTGTCTGCTTCTGCCAGGACACCTGAGGTGACAGGTCACTGACAGCAGACCAGCCCTTCACCAGATGTTGCAGTGAGGACGCTATAGCGAACAGTGCGTGTGTACACGTGTGGGGGTGTGGGGGGTGAGAAAGAGAATATGTGATATGTGGTGAGGGAACCCCCAACATCCAAGTAAGCATATGAGGCTGGCCTCTACCTGGGACTCAACATTTGGGCACAAAGACCAAGGACCTTGAGCTGATTGTTGCATGCATTCAAATAAATGAATGAACGAATGAATGAATGAAAAAAAAGGAGAGAAAGGAAGGAAGGAGAAAAGAAGGAAGGAAGGAAGGAAGGAAGGAAGGAAGGAAGGAAGGAAGGAAGGAAACTTGGGCTAAGGAAAGTGTGAAAACTGAGTTTTATTTCCAAATTTAAAATTGCTTGAAAACCTCCAACTTTCCAACCTTTCTTAACTCTTCCTGACCCTTCTTTACCCATCCAATCCTACAGAAACTATGGCCAGTCCCCAGAGCTATGGTGCCCAGCTTATCAGATGAATGCAATTAGGACCCTCCACACTCCAGCAAACACATACTCACCTATTCCAAAGTAGAAAGTTTCTTCGCCGAGAAGAAAAATCAAATTAACACCTAAAAGCAAGTCTCTGAAGACTTACGGTTTGTCTACATCCTGCCTCCTACTCCCCAATCCCCTGTAGTCCAACCACCCCTGCCCTTTGCCCAGGGAACTACAGCCCAGTGGCTCAGATGAGGACGGCAAAGGCCACCACGTGGGGTTTCAATAGTAAAAAGGGGCCTCGTGGAGGGATCACATCCCACTTTACACTCTCTGTCCACCTAAGGACTATGGTTGACATATGCCTGCTGTGGAAAGAGGAATAGAAGTGGTCACTCACAACAGCTTAGTCTCTGCTCCCCAAACTAACTCCTAACACTCTCCCCCGCCCCCTCTCTCAACATTTGGGGACAAAGGTACCAAGGACCCTAAGCTGGTTATTGCATGCATCCACAAATAAATGAAGAAAGAAATGAACAAATGAAAAAAAGAAAGAATGAGAGAGAGAGAGAAAGAAAGGAAAGTAGGAAGGAAGGAAACTAGGGCTAAAGAAAGTGTAAATTTGGAAGTAAAACTCACTTTCCTGAGTTGCTTGGAAACCTCCAATTTGGGTTCTGAGATAGAGTCTTCCCTACCCAGCAGGCTTCAGGGTCCCTCTGACTAAATACCTAGTCAAAAGGGCTCCTGCATTCTTTCTAGAAAAAGAATGGCCACTGGTCATCTCCCTCTCTCATCCACCAAATTAGCTTTAGAGACATTACCAAGGGTTCTGTCCTCTACTGCCACCCTCCTCTTGCTTAACCTCTTCCTGCTTCATGCCAGTCCATCCCTCCAACTTTCCCACCTTTCCTGACCCTTCCTTACCCTTCCCAACATACAGAAACTATGGCCAGGCCCCGGGGCCATGGGAGCAAAGGCGGAGCTAATCTGCCCTGCTCATCAGATGAGTACAAGGAGGACCCTCCCCATTCCAGCAAACACATACTCACTCATTCGAAACATGGGAGGTTCCATGCCACCTAGAAGAGAAATCAAATTACCACCCAAAAGTTAGTCTCTGAAGACTTATGGTTTGTCCACATTCTCCCCACTACTCCACAACCCCCTCTAGTCCATCCAACCCTGTCCTTCACCTAGGGAACCAGAGCCCAGTGGCTCAGATGAGGATGGCAAAGGCCATCACAGAGAGAGAAAGAAAGGAAAGTAGGAAGGAAGGAAACTAGGGCTAAAGAAAGTGTAAATTTGGAAGTAAAACTCACTTTCCTGAGTTGCTTGGAAACCTCCAATTTGGGTTCTGAGATAGAGTCTTCCCTACCCAGCAGGCTTCAGGGTCCCTCTGACTAAATACCTAGTCAAAAGGGCTCCTGCATTCTTTCTAGAAAAAGAATGGCCCCTGGTCCTCTCCCTCTCTCATCCACCAAATTAGCTTTAGAGACATTACCAAGGGTTCTGTCCTCTACTGCCACCCTCCTCTTGCTTAACCTCTTCCTGCTTCATGCCAGTCCATCCCTCCAACTTTCCCACCTTTCCTGACCCTTCCTTACCCTTCCCAACATACAGAAACTATGGCCAGGCCCCGGGGCCATGGGAGCAAAGGCGGAGCTAATCTGCCCTGCTCATCAGATGAGTACAAGGAGGACCCTCCCCATCCCAGCAAACACATACTCACTCATTCGAAACATGGGAGGTTCCATGCCACCTAGAAGAGAAATCAAATTACCACCCAAAAGTTAGTCTCTGAAGACTTATGGTTTGTCCACATTCTCCCCACTACTCCACAACCCCCTCTAGTCCATCCAACCCTGTCCTTCACCCAGGGAACCAGAGCCCAGTGGCTCAGATGAGGATGGCAAAGGCCATCACATGGGGTTTCAGTAGTAAAAAGGGGCCTCATGAAGGGATTACATCCCACTTTACAGTCTCTGTCCACTTAAGGATTGTGGTTGACATATGCCTGCTGTTGGAAAGAGAAATAGAAGTGGTCACTCACAACAGCTTAGTCTCTGATACACACACACACACACACACACACACACACACCTTTCTAGAAAAAGAATGGCCACTGGTCATCTCCCTCTCTCATCCACCAAATTAGCTTTAGAGACATTACCAAGGGTTCTGTCCTCTACTGCCACCCTCCTCTTGCTTAACCTCTTCCTGCTTCATGCCAGTCCATCCCTCCAACTTTCCCACCTTTCCTGACCCTTCCTTACCCTTCCCAACATACAGAAACTATGGCCAGGCCCCGGGGCCATGGGAGCAAAGGCGGAGCTAATCTGCCCTGCTCATCAGATGAGTACAAGGAGGACCCTCCCCATTCCAGCAAACACATACTCACTCATTCGAAACATGGGAGGTTCCATGCCACCTAGAAGAGAAATCAAATTACCACCCAAAAGTTAGTCTCTGAAGACTTATGGTTTGTCCACATTCTCCCCACTACTCCACAACCCCCTCTAGTCCATCCAACCCTGTCCTTCACCCAGGGAACCAGAGCCCAGTGGCTCAGATGAGGATGGCAAAGGCCATCACATGGGGTTTCAGTAGTAAAAAGGGGCCTCATGAAGGGATTACATCCCACTTTACAGTCTCTGTCCACTTAAGGATTGTGGTTGACATATGCCTGCTGTTGGAAAGAGAAATAGAAGTGGTCACTCACAACAGCTTAGTCTCTGATACACACACACACACACACACACACACACACACACACACACACTCCTACTCCTTAGGTTGAACTGGAGAAACAGAAGAGCCCCATGGACAGGACATCACTTGCAGACACGCTGTGAGCTTAGCCTTCGAAGTCCATCTCCATTTTGTTCACACTTGTCAACACTTATAAAACATAATTTTGAAGTTTGAGTTCAGCCACTGACCCCACCAGATTGGAGAGCTCATACTCATTCCACCTATTGCCACTGACAGGAGGTCACTGACAGAAGGACCCACCTTCACCAGATGTTGTAGGGAGGACACTATAAGGAACAATGTGTGTGTGTGTTTGTGTGTCTGAGAGAGAGATGGAGAGAGAGAGAGAGAAGAGAAGAGAAGAGAAGAGAAGAGAAGAGAAGAGAAGAGAAGAGAGAGAGAGAGAGAGAGAGAGAGAGAGAGAGAGAGAGGGAGAGAGAGGAAATTTTATGTGTGGTGAGGGAACCCCAAATCTCCAAGAAGACATATCAAGCTGGCCTCTACCTGGCACTCAACATTTGGGCATAAATGCCCCAAGGACCCTGAGCGGTTGTTGCATGCATCCACAAATAAATGAAGGAAGAAAGGAATTAATTAAAAGAGAGAGATAGAGAGAGAGAAGAAGAAGGAAGAAAGAACAGAACGAAGGAAGGAAGGAAGGAAGGAAGGAAGGAAAATGGGGCTAAGGAAAGTATACATTTGGAAGTAAACTCAGTTTTCTGAGTTGCTTGGAAACCTTCAGTTTGGGTTCTGTGATTGGGTCTTCCCTACCCAACAGGCTTCAGGTTTCCTCTTAATAAACACCTAGGCAAAAGGGCTCCTGCATTCTTTCTAGAAAAAGAATGGCCACTGGTCATCTCCCTCTCTCATCCACCAAATTAGCTTTAGAGACATTACCAAGGGTTCTGTCCTCTACTGCCACCCTCCTCTTGCTTAACCTCTTCCTGCTTCATGCCAGTCCATCCCTCCAACTTTCCCACCTTTCCTGACCCTTCCTTACCCTTCCCAACATACAGAAACTATGGCCAGGCCCCGGGGCCATGGGAGCAAAGGCGGAGCTAATCTGCCCTGCTCATCAGATGAGTACAAGGAGGACCCTCCCCATCCCAGCAAACACATACTCACTCATTCGAAACATGGGAGGTTCCATGCCACCTAGAAGAGAAATCAAATTACCACCCAAAAGTTAGTCTCTGAAGACTTATGGTTTGTCCACATTCTCCCCGCTACTCCCCAACCCTCTCTAGACCATCCTTCCCTGTCCTTCACCCAGGGAACTAGAGCTCAGTGGCTCAGAGGAGGATGGCAAAGGCCATCACGTGGGGTTTCAGTACTAAAAAGGGGCCTCATGGAGAGACCAGATCCCACTTTACAGTCTCTGTCCACTTAAGTACTGTGGTTGACATATGTTTGCTGTTGGAAAGAGGAAAAAAAGCAATCACTCACAACAGCTCAGTCTCTGCTCACCCAACTCACACACATGTGCAGGCATGCACAAGCGTGCAGGCCCATGCACACACACACACAAACATACTTGTAGCTCAGTACTCAAAGAAGGCAGGTGGCTCTCTCTGTGGCCATGGGCCTGTGTGGGTCACAGCTGAACGATGAGGAGGTGGTGGAGGAGCCTGGCTGCAGAAGGCTTCTGTGAGTCTGTCAGGGTTGAGCCCCAACAGGGTGTTATGGGTCCAAAGAGGGTCAAGGGTTCAGCAGGGCCCAAGATCCAAGCAGAGAACCTGCCCAACTCACCTGCTGGAAAGGTTTCCTTATCATCATTATCATCTGCGATGTGGTGAATGCCTACAGGGGAATAACCAAGTCAGCTGAGCCAAGGGTATCCCTGTTGGAGCCTCTCACCCCCTTGCACCTGCAGCCCCCACACTTCCTCCTCCGGGCCAGGTGTGCTAGCTTTTATCAGGGTGCCCTGGGGACCCTTTGCATCAGAATCACCTGGGACACTGTGGAAACTCAGAGTCCCTCACCCCACTCCATACCTTCTGCATCAGGCTCTCTAAAAAGGAAGCTAGAACCTGCCTTTCAATAGGCACCTGGGTGATGGTTTTCCACTCTAGTCTCACATTGGAGATTGGCCTTTTCCATGGAAAGGACATCGCCTCCTTCCTGCTCTTTGTCTTCCTCTCCTGGAGGCTCCTCCCTCACATGTCTACTCCCTTCCTGCCAGGCTCCTGGGTGATTTCACATTTCACGTAGAGAAATGTTCAACGTTCTGAAACTCCTAACAATCAGATTTAAGTGTTTGACAAGGGACAGGAGCCCATGAAGGAAGGAGACAGAGGGAAAGCAGTCCCATTATAGCAGACCCTATAAACCATGGTGATGCAGTAGCCAGGGAGAAGAGAGTCAAAGGTGGGAATAATGAATGTGTGGTAGTTGGTGATGATGTGATTAAATCCCTCGAGGACAGACTGCAATGGGGCAAGGCATGGACAGCGAGGAGGCAGTGAGCAGGGTGCAGAAGATTCTTTAAGGAAGTGGGCAGTGAGGGGACACTGGGTGGGAAGAGGGGACACGCGTGAGTGAGGGGTTATGAGATGGCAGAGACCTGACGTTGTGGTCAGGTCAGGGGAAGGGTCCAGGTGAACGGGAGGGAGGGAAGATAGATTTGGCTCAGCCACCTTATCAGACATTTATCTCCATCAGTTCTAGAGCTAAGATCTCACTTCTATTTCATAAATAAGATGGGGGACAGAGGAATTCTTATTTTCTCCAAAGCCACAAAGCAAGCAACTTATTGAACTGTTCTTCATATTAGTTTACACTATGAAGTGTTAGGAGGATGAAATTAGTTCATGGAAATGAAATGCTCACTGCATTGGGCCATTCTTTATAAAGGTTCCTGCTAGTCACCCTTAGGCCTGAACTGTAGAAACAGACAAGCCCCATGAGCAGGGCCTGACTTGCAGACACTACTGTGAGCTTAGCCTTCAAAGTCCATCTTCATTTAGTTCACACTTGTCAACACTTATAAAACATATTTTTGAAGTTTGAGTTCAGCCACTGAACCCACAAGATTGGAGAGCTCATACTCATTCCACCTATTGCCACTGACAGGAGGTCACTGACTGCAGGACCCACACTTCACCAGATGCTGCAGGGAGAACGCTGTAGATAGCTGTTTGTGCATGTGTGTATGTGTGTGTGTGTGTGTGTGTGTGTGTGTGTGTGTGTGTGAGAGAGAGAGAGAGAGAGAGAGAGAGAGAGAGAGAGAGAGAGAGAGAGAGAGAAAGTTTTCTGTATGATGAATTCAGCCCCTGATCTCTGAGGAGCTGGACCCCTACCTTTATCAGGCTGACCTCTCCCTGGGACTCCACATTTGGGCAGGGAGAGGCCAAAGATCCTGAGCTGATTGTGTTCATAGCACCCACTATTGGACCCTGGTTTGTAGTTGTATTTGATGCAAATGTTTCTCCCATGTGAAGTCAGAACCCAGTTGGGTATCGGGCAACTGTGCATTTTGAGTCAGGTGAGGGAGGGAGAGATGCAGATACAATTCTGCATTACAGGGCACTTCATTTGCAGTTTTGTTCCTGGTTGTGCCAATATGTTATGGGCTTTACCATGGGAGGTATGGGTAACCTTGGAGGTCTCTGTGTCCCCCCATCCCCCACGTGAGCTGCTGAGAGTGGAGGGACCTTGAATAGAGATGAGTGGGAGTAGGATCACACTTCACCCAGTGCTAAGCACATCCCTTCTGTCTCTCTCCATGTAGGATACTGTCTCTGCCTCCCAGAACAACAATTCAGTGGGATTTTGCTTGGAGGTGACTATGGGTAATGGTGATGTATGGGCCCTGGACAGCTGGAAAATGCTGCTTCTCTCTCTGAACAGGTAGAGAAGCCAAGGTTGTCTGATGACGGTCTCCCCTTCTCATTTCTCTTCCCAGGAGAAGAAGGCCCCCATGCCCCACTGCCTCCTTCAGCCTCTGCTTACCCCAGCCCGTGCTGTAGAAAAGCAGCTGCTTCCTCTTATATGCCACCACTGAGCCCTTTGGCACAGTCAGCTTCTTCTCTTTCACTTGGAGACTCCTTCCCTGTCCTTTACCCTGGGGACAAAAGCCCAGAGACACCATCATACATGCATGTCATTTTAAAGTCAAATACATCTAGAAAGTTCATGAGAAAAGGGATCAGCAGCCCCCTGCCCTCACCCCCTCTACTCCTTGTTTCTAGTTCCTGCTCTTTTTTCCTTGTTTCATCCCATATTTACCTTCATATCCCTCAATTCCATGTTGATACTGCAATGATTTCACTTTTTTAGATTCAAGTGTATCTAGTCACTTCCTCTTGTTGATGATGAGCGTTTCATTTTCCTACTCTTTATAGGAGCCGAAGCAATTGATAAAAGGAAAATACCCAACTCCAGCCTCTTCTAGTTTTCCATGTAGGGCAAGGTCATCATTCAAATCTAGTTCCCTCTACCCTCCTGCCACATCCAAGAGGGGAGAGAGCACTGAGAAGCTCTTGTGAGTTCATAGTCCAGGGGAACACAGGCTCACTAAAAAAAAAAAATGCTGGGACCCATCCATAGGACTATAGAGTACTTCTCTTCTCATACATCTTACCACCATATCACTAAAGGCCGATTTACCAGAGTTCCTTTTATCACATGTATCATGTCGAACTTTCAACAAAAACAAAAATGACAAGGCATATTCAAAGGCAAAAAACAACAGTTTGAAGAGACAGAGTAAGCTGAGAATCAGACTCAACTATAACATGGATGTTGAAATTCTTAGACCTGGAATTTTAAACCACTGTGATAAATTTGCTAAAAGATCTAATGGAAAACATAGACAAAATGTAAGAGCAGATGAGTAATGTAAGCAGAGTGATAGAAAGTCTAAGAAAAAGTAAAAGAGAAATGCTAGAGAGATAAAAATACTGCAACAGAAATAAAGAAATCCTTTGTTTGTCTCACTAGTAGACTGGACACAAGTGAGAGAAAATCCTCTGCACTTGAGTAAATCTCACAACTAAAAAGCAAAGAGAAAAATGACTTAAAAAATGAAACATAATATCCAAGAACTGTGTGACAGCTAGGAAAGTTGTAACATACATGTAATGAGAATATAAGGAAAAGAGAGAAATGAACAGAAAAAAATATTTGAAGCAATAATAAAGGAGGATTTTCCCCAAATTAATGTCAGACATCAAATCACATCCAGAGCCCATGAATTCAAACTACAGAAAACAACAGATAAAGAAAACATATTAGAAGTCATGAGATATTGAAAGAAGTCAGATACTTCTTGTCTGCTGTTATTTCACATATATATATATATCTTTATGATTTTATACCTTGTTCAAGAGGAACATGACAATAAGGATTTGAAGATACAAGTAAGACTCCACATTTTGCTATAAAAGCAAGATGGGTTTTAGTTTATTTGAATTTTGTTAAGCTTTTTTGTTATTATGTAGCTCATCCATTTAATATCTATTGTGGAGAGAGAGAGACCAAGATGGCGGCATAGGTAAACACCGGAGACTGCTGCCGCAAACAACCACTTCAAAAATACAACTAAAAGACGGAACGGACATCACCCAGAACCACAGGAAGGCTGGCTGAGGAGAGACTCTTCAACTAGAAGGAAAAATAACAGCACACCGAGGCTCAGAGGAGGCGCAGTGTGGAAAATACTCAGGTGCGGAGGTGCGCGCGCAAAGCGGGCTGGTGGCTGAGAGCGCGGTTGTCGTTTTCGGTCAGGGGGGAGTCTCAGACTCTGAGCTCCAGATACGGGTGAATCGCTGGGGACTCGGACTCAAACGGGAGAAGCGGGAGTGTCTGGCATCAGTTGGAAGGCAGCTTTCCCTCCGAGGTTTGCAGCGGTTCCTGGGGTTCTGAGAAGCAGAGCCTCTGGGAACGGGACTGAGAGGGGCCATAACCGCTCCCTCCGCCCGCCCTGTTGAGCCCGCCCCGCCCAAGCCCTGCGCAGAGCCATTTGCCAGATCGCCTCAGGCAAAGGCTAGATTAGCACCTCCCCAGAGGACAGAAGTTTTCCGCGGCAGACACAGCTGATTCACACAGCCAGTCGGCCTGGTGGTCAAATCCCTCTAGTATTAACTACAACAATCAAGGCTCAACTAGAACAAGACTGCGCACAAAGACCACTAGGGGGTGCACCAAGAAAGCATAAAAAATGCGGAGACAAAAAAACATGACAGAAATGGAGGATATAGAGCTAAAAAACGCAATTTTGAGGGCTTGCAATAAACTTTTGGAGAGCCTCACGAAAACTAATGAGACCCTCGATGCTATGATAAAGAAACAACTAGAAATTAAGCATACACGGTCGGAAATAAAGAATATTACACCCAATAGCAGACCAGAGGAGCGCAAGAATCAAGTCAAAGATTTGAAATGCGAAGAAGCAAAAAACACCCAACCGGAAAAGCAAAATGAAAAAAGAATCCGAAAATATGAAGATAGTGTAAGGAGCCTCTGGGACAGCTTCAAGCGTACAAACATCAGAATAATTGGGGTGCCAGAAGATGAGAGACAGCAAGATATTGAAAACCTATTTGAAGAAATAATGGCAGAAAACTTCCCCCACCTGGTGAAAGAAATGGACTTACAGGTCCAAGAAGCGCAGAGAACCCCAAACAAAAGGAATCCAAAGAGGACCACACCAAGACACATCATAATTAAAATGCCAAGAGCAAAAGACAAAGAGAGAATCTTAAAAGCAGCAAGAGAAAGAGACTCAATTACCTACAAGGGAATACCCATACGACTGTCAGCTGATTTCTCAACAGAAACTTTGCAGGCCAGAAGGGAGTGGCAAGAAATATTCAAAGTGATGAATAGCAAGAACCTACAACCAAGATTACTTTATCCAGCAAAGCTATCATTCAGAATTGAAGGTCAGATAAAGAGCTTCACAGATAAGGAAAAGCTAAAGGAGTTCATCACCACCAAACCAGTATTATATGAAATGCTGAAAGGTATCCTTTAAGAGGAGGAAGAAGAAAAAGGTAAAGATACAAATTGTGAACAACAAACATGCATCTATCAACAAGTGAATCTAAGAATCAAGTGAATAAATAATCTGATGTACAGAATGAACTGGTGATTATAATGAATCAGGGACATAGAAAGGGAATGGACTGACTATTCTTGGGGGGGAAAGGGGAATGGGAGATGCGGGAAGAAACTGGACAAAAATCGTGCACCTATGGATGAGGACAGTGGGTGGGGAGTGAGGGCGGAGGGTGGGGTGGGAACTGGGAGGAGGGGAGTTATGGGGGGGAAAAAAAGAGGAACAAATGTAACCTGAACAATAAAGATTTAATTAAAAAAAAAAAAAAATAATATCTATTGTGATAAAAAAGTAGTATTCCACCCATTAGATGTACAATATGGTACTGTATTTTCATTTTCATCTGTCTAGAGATATTTTCTGATCTCCCTCATTGTATCTTCTTTGACCCACGGAAGGTTCAAGAGTATATTTCTTAATGTCCATATATTTGTGAATTTGTTAGGTTTTCCTTTTATTATTGATCTTTACTTTCATTCCATTTTGGCCAGAAAATATATCTGGTATAACTTCAGACTTCTTAAACTTGGTCAGACAGATAGGGAGGCCTTGCATGTGAGTTGGGCTGGAGAATGCTCCGGGTGTGCATAAGGAGAACGTTGTGTGCTACTCCACAGAATGTTCTGTCTGTTAGGGAATGTAGTTCAATTCATCTACATGACGCTGCTCAAGTCCTCCATTTCCTTATTGACCTTTTGTCTGATTGACCAAAACAAAATTGATGCAGCCATGACCCAGAGGTGATATGCAAACTGTTTAATGACATCACAGCCCATGGCCAACACTTAGCACCCAGCACTTAGCACCCAGATGGCTGGGAAGAGCTGTGACAGTGGGGGAGGGTGAGTGGGTGTGGCAGAGGATGACACAGAATTGTCCCCTGTTCTCAGAAAGCCAGTTTCCCAACCCAAGCAGATGAAAACCCAAAGTTGAAGGTCAAACATCCTTCATACTGGAGCAATGTTTCAGTTGTTCAAACTTCCTTCCTCCAAGACAAAATCACCAACCTTGGGAACATTAACTCACAATTCCGTTTTTTTTTTCTTGAGTTTCTAATTCTTCAAAGTGAGGACAAACTACATCTCTATAATAATGAAAGCATAATATGCTAATTAGATCAAAAGACCTTCCAGATGAAGCTGGGGCTGGGAGGGCCAAGGCAAGCCACCGTGGCTGCGAGGGCCGAGCCCCTTGCAAGAATTTTGTGCATCGGGCCTCTAGTAAAATATAAAATGTGTGTAATCAGATACCCTGAGAGGAGACTCCATCCATGAAAGGGACAATAACATTCAAGACCCAACTACATCAGGAGAACCATGCACCACTGGGTCCCACAAAACATGTACTACATGAGACAAATTCAAAAAATCTGGGTGCCATAGCAGTTTTATCTAATACACAGAAACAATTACAAAGGAACAGCAAAAATGGGGAGACAGATAAACAACCCCTAAATGAAAGAAAAGGAGGAAGCACCAGAAAAGGAACTAAATGAAATGGAGGCAAGCAATTTGTCAGAGAAAGAATTCAGAGTAATTGTTATAAGGATGCTCAAACATCTGGATGAGAAATTCCCCAACATGTGTAAGAATAAAAGGAAATGAAGAATGACATAGCTACAGTGGAAGGTTTCAACAGTAGACTAGAAGAAGCTATGGACCAAATCAGTGAGTCAGAAGATAAGGTAGAAAAAAATACCCAAGCAGAGCAGCAACTGGAAAAAAATTAAAAAGCAAGAGGAGAGTCTAAGGGAGCTCTGGGACAACACTAAACAAACAAACAAACAAAAACATCTGCATAATAGGGGTGCCAGAAGGAGAAGTTGAGCAAAAAATACAAAACCTGTTTGGAGAAATAATGGTAGAAAACTTTCCTGACTTTGGGAAGAAAAAAGTCACTCAAGTCCAAGAAGCACAGAGAGTCCCAAACAAGATGAACCCAAAAAGACCAACACCAAGAAACATCATAATTAAACTAGCAAACGTAAACAACAAAGTAACAATCTTAAAGGCTTCCAGAGAGAGAGACAGAAAGTTACCTACAAGGGATCTCCCATTAGACCATCAAAACACTACTAGATTTAATAAATGATTTCAGCAATGTAGCATGATACAAAATTAACACTCAGAAATACATGGCATTTTTATACACTAACTAGAGGCCTGGTGCACAAAATTCGTGCATTTGGGTGGGGGGGGTGGTCCCCTCAGCCCGGCCTGCACCCTCTTGCAGTCCAGGAGTGCTTGGGAGATGTCTGACTGACAGACAGTCGGACATCCTTAGTGCTGCCGCAGAGGCGGGAGAGCCTCCTGCCACCACTGCTGTGCTCACCAGCTGTGAGCCCGGCTTCTGGCTGAGCAGCGCTTTCCCCTGTGGGCAAAGGCATGTACCTTGGTTGCGGGCACATCCCCAGTAGGGAGTGTGCAGGACCCAGAGTCAAGTCCCCGCCCACCCACATGCACCTCTAAATTGTGCGAGACCCAGACCTGGCCAGCCCCACCCCCGTCAAGCCCCGCCGGGCAGGGGGTGCAGCCTCAGATCCCCTGGCACAACCTCGGGTCCCCCGGCCCCAGCGCAAGGGCACGAGGGCATGATGACCATTTGCATATTAGCTCTTTATTATATAGGATACTATCTGATAAATGAATTTACTTTAATTGGAAGTACTATTGTTAGTTTTTGTGAGTTATATCAATCCTATGTGCCTGAAGGCATTTAAATCTCCCTCCTGCTATCCATTCTTCTCAGCTTGCCGTGGCATTTAGGGAACTTCAACCACTGAGGTTTGGTAATAGGGGTCCCTTATTTCCTCCAGCATAAAACTGGACCTGTAGATAGTACGGCAGCCACCCCTTTAGATTTGCCATAATCCATGCTTACCCAAAGGAAATGTAATACCACATAATTAAATCTACTTGCTTTTTATCGATCAGTGTCTCCACCTCATACCTTGACAAAAATATTCCAAGGGATGAAGCATATCCCTGAGACCTTCACACTGCTATGATCCTGCAGCACAGGGCTGTTGAGCAGCTCCACGGTGTCGGTCACAACATACAGATTCAGCCCTGCTTCCCGGCACTGCTTCAGAAAGTACGGCTCGGGGTCTGGCAGTTTCCTGTGGGGAGGAGAGGATCAGAGTGGGAAGAGATGCCTTCCCAGGTGGCCCTGGGTCACCCTCATCCTCAGGACCTGGAAGGGGTGTTCCCGCCACAGGCAGAAAGATCCTGGCACATGGGGTGAGTTACCAAGGTTGGCTAAGCTCCCACCTCACTGACTTCCCACAGCTCCTGGAAACGCCAGGCTGGTCCAAGCTGACCCAGGCTCCAAACCCCTCACCTGGACCATTTTCCTCCTGCTCTTTGCTCCCTTTATTCTGCAGGTCTCAGTTCAACTGTTAGCTCCACAGAGAGACCTAAATAGGCCCCTCCCTCCAGCCCCTCTTCCACCAGCTCCTGACACTACCCACATCCATTTATCAAAAGTGTCTCACTGCCTTTCTTTTCACATTTCAAATCTGACCTCAGACAGACTTTTTTTCCTTGGTGCTAGATAATAAAAAGTGTCCCTCAAATTGGAGCCTCTTCAACTGCTAAAAACAATTTCTATGACAAGTTTTATTTTATTTTCTGGCCACATACTCTTTTACACCATAAAGTCTTCGTAAATGTTAGTTCTAATAAGAGTCTTACAAGACACCAGAAATACAGAAACGGTGCCATGTCCTGTCAAAGTAACTTTCAGTCTCAATACCCTGGGATTTTTACTAGTTGCTTACTTTAATATTTCTTTGCACTGACAGAAATACTATTTAGGCCTGGCCTGTGTTGCTCTGAACCAGGAGGTCACGGTTCAATTCCCAGTCTAGGCACATGCCCGGGTTGCAGGCTCGATCCTGGTAGGGGGCATGCAGGAGGCAGCCAATCAATGATTCTCTCATCATTAATGTTTCTATCTCTCTCTCCCTCTCCCTTCCTCTCTCTGAAATCAATAAAAATATATTTTTTTAAAAGAAACTTTAAATTGAAATATCTGTCTCTAAAAGGTCTTTTCCCACAGGCACTGAGGTAAATTAAATTTTAGGACACTGAGCCATACTTTGTTTAAACAAAGAGATTCAGAGCCTTTGCCTCACTTAAATTAATACTTTAACTTATTTTTTATTGCTTATTTTTCTCACTCACTGCATGTCCCCTGCCCCAGTAAATACGTTTTAGGGCAGGGATTTTTATGTCTTGTCATTACTCTATTCTCAACACAAAACAGCATAGTAATGGACATCCGCAGCTTTAATAAAGACTTATTAAATAACTAATCACCGCTCTGAACCAGGAGGTCACGAATGAATGAATGTGTGAATACCCAAGAAGGGCAGCATGATCTGGGGTGTCATTTTCTTCATTCTGAGCCTCCTTGCCCACGAGGAGAGCTCTGTGTGGGGCCCATTGACCAGGTCCTTCCTCCCTCTGCCCTCACCTCTTCTGAAGCTCTGTCCAGGTTTCGTGTGGGGTGCTAACAATCTGGTACTCGAGGGAGGACCCTCGGCACGCAGCAGTCTCCTCCGAGAAGCCCACTTCTGCCCCAGCATTCACGCTCCCAGCCGCCTGCTGCTTCCTGACCTCAGTGTCACTGAAGTCGGCAGACACTTCCACAGCAGCGTCTGGAAACGAACAAGGTACCTGAGGTTCAACCAAGAATTCCCTCTGGAACAGCTGGGAAATGGCATGGAAACGGAACAACTGAGCCCTAGCTCGCCCCAGCTCGCCCCAGCTCGCCCCAGCTCGCCCCAGCTCTCCCACTCAACTGAATCTCATCCGAGGAGCTAACTCATCAGCTGACATTTTGAGTGTAAATTATTCCTGAGGACGTTTGAATCCACCCAGGGGCTGGATAACAGGGATACTGTCCTAACCCTAAGGAATGATGAGGTCCCCTGTGTGGGTGTCTCAGCATGTCTTGCCGGCTGCACCCCTTCTCCCTGCACCCTTGTTTTGCAGCCCCTGCCTCCTATGCCCCTGGCTGACAATACCTGGGACCAAAGAACCTTGTTCAAGGATGTGCATGAGGGAGACGTCAAGTGGGACATCGGGTAGTTGCCAAAACCGAGAGCGAGCCTTCTTCCTCCGTATTAGAGAAAACCGGTGTATCTTGGTGGCGCTCACCAAGCATTTGACAGGTCTGAGCTCTTGGTCTCCGATCTCTTTGACCAATTTCTTGGTAGTTCTCTCAAACATGGAGGGCATGTTGCTAGGGGCAGAGAGAAAGGAAACATAAAGATCAAGTGGGTCTTACAGATAATATTAAATGAGTTTCATGTGTCATTCAGAGAGTTGGCAGTGACTTGACTGTGTCATAGGCCTTTGTCGTGTCTACACAGTGAAGTCACATGCATGTGCAAAGGCCTGGGTCTTCCTTCAATAACTGTCCTCAGGATGGTCTTTAGTGAACAGATGAGATACCTAGACCTGGAGTCCCTGCTGGGTCAGGGGACCAATGAGCACTTGCTTAACTTGTTGGAAGCGCCGAAGAGGAGGTAAGTTCCCCTCCAAAACCAAATGTATGCACTTCCTTATGCCACCACAGTTCCATCAAGCTGGCCACACTGTACGATGGTTAGTCCCCCCGGAGGACTGATTGTTAGTGTGTGTGAACTACCCGTGTTCAGTGCTGCAAAGCCCATGCTTTTTAAGATCTTACCGAGTCTTGCTGTGACTGAAACAGAGCAAGAGTGTGGCTGTCACAAAGGTGGGCATGAGATAGTTAAATAAAGCCCGGATGCCTGCATTGCTGTGCTAAGTGGACCATGATTCACCAGAAAATTATGAAGTGCCTCATTTTGAGGTGTCAGGAGCCTTGTATGGGTACTCGTCAACCTGTACTCATCTACCTGTAGTTGTCAACCTGGATGACACGCTCATTCTGCTTTTAAACACTTTCCATTTCAAAAAAATAATGTCAGTAAGATGGCAGAACAAGACCTTTCAGCCCTCAGCCCTCCACCGAAACACCAGTTCTGACAACCACCTGGGGATAAAAAGTTCCTCTGTGGGAGCCCAGAGTCCAACGGATCAAAACCTCCAGGAATGGAAGCACAGCAGTTTCACGTCACCCCTCCTCCGAGGCAGCACAATTCAGTCAAGACTAACCTCAAAGCCCAGGCTTCTCTCATGGGGAGTAGAGCACTGTGAGCCCACTCCCTGCCCTGTAGGACTCCTAACCCCGTGGCCCAGTTTCTCCCCTGGGGAGTAGAGCACAGTGAGTTTCTCCCCTCCCTGTAGGACATTCCTAACCCTGTGGCCCAGGCTTCTCCCATGAGGAAGTAGAACACTGTGAGCCCGCTCCCCGCCCTGTAGAACATTCCTAAACCCATGGCCCACACTTCTCCCATGGGGAGTAGAGCACAGGGAGCCCACTCTCCACCGAGTAGGACATTCCTAACCCTGTGGCCCATGCTTCTCCCATGGCGGAGTAGAGCACAGTGATCCTGGCTCCCTGCCATGCGGGACACTCCTAACCCCGTGGCCACGACTCTCCCATGGGCGAGTAGAGAGCACAGTGAGCCTGCCTCCCCACCCCTATGCAGGACACTCCTAAGAGGCCTGCTTTTTTTTCATCCCACCCACAGTGCTCAGGCTGGTTGGCATGGGAAGATTCTATGGCTGAAGATTCTAAGGGCAGGTAGATGGCATTGATAGATGAGTGGGTAGAGAAGATGTACATTTACACAGTGGAATATGACTCCACCATAACAAGAATGAAATCTTGCCATTTGAGACAACATGGATGGACCTAGAGGACATTATACTAAGTGAAGTCAGAAAAAGACAAATACCATACGATTTCATTTATATGTGGAATCTTAATAAAAAAAAGAATAAACAACACAAAACAGAAACAGACCCATAGGTACAGAGAATAAGCTGATAGTTGCCAAAGGGAAGAAGGTGAGGATGGGTGAAAAACAAGATGTGTCAAAAATATATCCCTTAGCCTTACCTATTCATGTGTTGTTACCCAAATTTCTTTTGCATTAGGGAGAACTGTAGGAAGAAGTGCTGATTTTGGGGTGGGGAGCTGAGGGTGGGAGAGGGTGTTTGTCAATCTAAAACAAACCAAAAACATCTCTACCCATTTTTCAAACCTATTAAGAACATTTCTCTCTGACTGTAGTATTGTTATTGCCGTAATTAGCCAGTTAATATTAATAAAAGAAAAAAAGCAAAGGGGAGGCCACACACTATAAGCATGCTCATCTGGGCAGCTTCATGTTCCCCAGGGAACCACAGGTCCACTCCCTGCAGGTCACTGGGGGAAGGGATACAACAAAGGGGGAGATGGGCACATGTGCAGAAGTCGGGGGCGGCAGGGAGGGTGTCGGGGTGTAGGCCTGTCAGTCTAGCCTGGGGAACAATAGATTGGCTGGGGGGGGACCCCATCAGAAGCATGTGAAATCTTGAAGAGTTAATTGGTTAGTTTGGAGAAGCTCCTGGTTAAAACCCCAGAGTTACCTCTCTCTTGTTTGCTCTTGTTCTTTCTCTCTCTTGCTCTGTGACTTGCACTTGCTCCCCTGGTCTCTCTCCATAGTCAGGTGGCCTTACACAGCCACATGGTCCATGCCATGCTGACCCCACACACAACGGACCCAGCTGGGAACACAGCTAAGCTAGCCAGGTGCTGGACTGGACTTTAACACAGAACAGAAATTCTAAGCAGGGCCTTGATCCTAGCCCTGCTGAAGGCAAAATTGGACTTCTTCCATGGCAAGATGGACAGAGATGGGTCCTTGGAGGGCAACCCCTTAATTTTACATCATCAATAAAGCTTTCCATGAAACCCCATCCTCCTGTGGGGGCCTCACGGCACTCCAAGAAGCCCACTTCCACCGATAACAGTATCTTCTTATTCACCCCCTGGTCCCTGTTAGAACTTACCAGTTGTATATTGTCTTGTCTTATAGAGAAAGGCTCCAATGGGTCGGGCTTCTTCCAATCTCCAGACCGCCTGAGGTCAGACAAAATCCAGAGAACAGAGAAGTGCTACTGCTCGTTGTATTTTCTTCCCACCAGCAGATCCCTGACTCAAGTTCCAGGGCAATATCCTGTAAGAAGAAGCAGATGAAGCCCTCATCTCCTCCAGACTAGGTCTGGGGCTGAGCTCTGGATCAAGCAGTCTTACCTCTCAAGTCCTTCTCAGGCAAGTGGAGACTAGAATCAGGCAGGGTTTCTATATATACTGTATCTGCCAGGCTGTCCCATAGGACAGTAGATAGGATCTCCAGAAGCAGAGCGTATCTGTTCCTGACCCAGAAAACAGTCTGAGCAAGTCTGATTCGTGGGTTCATTCACGAATGAATGATTGCTGGGGCCACTTATTTGGCTACATGCCACCTTAAATGCACTGTGTAAGATGTGGCCGTGTGTCAGCAGAAAAGGTAGGAATAAGCTTCAGGAGAGAAGAGGTACATGCAGGACCCTGGGCAGAGCCTTGGTTCAATCGGAATTAATGCTACCCCTCCTGTGTGTCATGTGCTGTACAATTGATCTTATAACAATCTTTAATGGTAAAGAAAAAGGAGATTTTTAAAAGGACAAAACAACTTGCCCCAAACCCATTTACTTTCTAATTACTTCGTGATCACTCCTGTGGCCTCATGGAATGAAGGGAAATGCCTGGGAGCCTGTGGGAGCAGGCAGTCCCAGCTCTGACGCTCAGAGGGGCAACTGAGGGTGCTTCACAAGGCACTTATCCCCTCTTCTTCCATCCACTGTTCATGCAAGTCCCACACCTGCCCTTCCCCACCTGGGGAATGGGATACCCACTCCATGCGCCAAAGGGCTCACGGCTGTGCTTTCTACATGACCCAGCAGCCCGAAAGATTTCCCCAAACTGAATTTACTTTCTATAATTTGCATTGTAAAAACAACAGACTCGAAATATACAGTTTTGTAGGTGCATATACCACTGTGCCACAGGCCAGCACCTGAGAGCCCTGCCCTATTCTGGGACATTCTAGAAGCCAGGAAACGTGACTCAGCTGTTTGGGGCGAGTTATGTGAGTCCAAGGAAGCCTGCAGGTTTTAGTTGGCTTCGTTGAACCAACGCCACCATAAGCAGCTGCTAGCTTTCCTTTCCCAGTTCCCTGTTCTCCATCGGGAAGCACCTCCGACATCCCAGAGGAGGGATATAAACGGGAAACCTGGGGCAGTGAGTGTGCAGCCACAGCTGAGCATCCCTGGTCCTCCACTGGGAACAGCCGCCAGTGGGGAAGCAGCCATCCTGGAAAAGCAGAGAAGCTCCACATTCCTCCCTGCAGTGTGCAAGCAGCACCCATGCCTCCCTCCTGGCAACCTCGCACAGGAGTCTTCTGTTTGTGCCCACACCACAGGGAAGTGCTTTGTCCCCTGTGTAAGCATAAGCAACGCCAATTTACTTAAGGTTTCAGGGGAGACTGAGGTGGGGTGGCCATTGCCCAGCATGTTATTTTCTTGAAAATTCTCCACTAGCTCTCTTTTCTGGTTGGCCCTGTTCACAAGTTTTCATGGAGACTTCGCTCAGCCCCTCCCTGCCTCACACCTGCTTCCCTTCCTCCTCCTCCTCCTCTCTTTCCCCTTCCCCATCCCAAGGTCTTACAGGTTTCAGTCATGAGCTTCTAGGTTTCTGCTCTCCCCCGAATTCCCTCTCCCTTTCCTTATACAGAAAAATATAAGCTTCTCAAAGCCCCACCCTTGCTGAGCCAGCCAGTCGGCCAGCTAGTTTCTAGGTTTTGGGTCTACACCTTCTACACATTTTTTCGATTCCAGTGTTGGGGTAACAAGGTCAGTAAGACAGAGTTCCCGACTCCACAGACTATTAGCTTTAGTGTGGGGACACCAACCATACACCTTCTACAAATGGAAGGTAAGCTTGTCCTTACGCGTTCCTTGAGAGCACGGTGGCCTATATTTCTACAATTTCTTCCCTGGAGGCCTCCATGACAGCTGCCCCGATTTGCACCACTCATGCTTCCTCCCTCTCACCTCTTGCTTCTTCATCCATCACCTCACTCCCTACCAACCAGCCCGTTTCAGAATTCCTTTCCTGGCTCCTTCTGAGCTATAGGAAGCCATGTCACACCACTCTTGTAGACATTAACTCTGCCAGGGTCTATCTGATCGCTTTTCACCACTTCCAAGACCAACAGCCTGCCCCACCCACCATCAACACTTAACCTGGATTATCCCAATCCCCTAACTAGACTTCCTGCTTCTGCCCTGTCTACTGTCCACATGGCAAACGCATCTTTTCAAAAGTGCATCGCATACCTCCCTTCTAACCTTTGTACTACCTGCCAATCCCACTTCAAGTAAAAACAGTCATAATGACCAATGGCCTGCATGCACTTGACCTCACGTTCCGATGAATTCTCTCACTCATTGCAGCTGTTCATATGCCAGGCAATTTCTTCCTTTGGTTAATCCCTCTACCTAGAATCTGTCCCCCCAAATAGCTACAGAGTTCACCTCCTTTTGTTTCAGTTTAAGTCTTCAAGTCACTTCTAAGGCTTTCGCTGTCAAATTGCAAACATGCCATCACTCATTAATTTATAACCCCTCTTAACCTTCCTTCTAGGCCTCCCTTGGTTTGAGTTGGGGCAACACACAGGCTTTCCATTTAATCTCCAAATGGGGGTCAGGGCTCAGCAGGGCCCAAAGTCTAGGCAAAGAATCCGCCCAGCCTGAAACTCACCTTCTGCAAAGCGTGTCTCCTCCTCACCATCTGTGATGTGAAGAATGTCCAGGTGGGAAGAAGCCAGGTCAGTTGAGCCGAGGGTATCCCTGCTGGAGCCTCTCACATCCCCGCACCTGCAGCCCCCACACTTCCTCCTCCAGGCCAGGTGTGCCAGCTTTGCTCAGGGTGCTGTGGGGACCCCTTGCATCAGAATCACCCTGGACTCTTGTAGAAACTGAGTCCCTGACCTCACTCTATCTTCTGAACAATATCTTCAGAATCAGTCTCTAAAGGGGAACCTGGAAGCTTATTTTATTACTATACTTTTCCTATTTATTGAGATATTATTGACATATCACTCATAAATTTAAGGGGTAAAAATGTGATGATCTCATACACACATATATTACAAAGTGATTACCACAATTAGGTTAACACCTCCATCACCTCACAAAATTACCCTTTATTCTGTGGTGATAACATTTAAGATTGACAATTGGGCCCCGGCTGTGTGGCTCAGTGCTTAGAGCATCGGTCCATGCACCAAAGGGATACGGGTTCAATTCACAGTCAAAGGCACATACCTTGGTTGCAGGTTCGATCCCTCGCCACGGTCAAGAGCAGGAGGCAAGCAATCAATGTTTTACTTTCTCGGTCCCTCCTCCTTCCTTCCCTTCCCCTCTCCAAAAATTGACGGAAAAAAATATCCTTGGGTGAGGATTAATTAAAAAATAAAAAGACTGACATTTAGTTGTCAAATTAACTTGCTCTTATCATTAGAGGAGGTGTCAGCAAACTTTCTGTAAAGGGCCAGACAGTATTTTCACCACCGAGGGCCACATGGCCCTGATCACAAGAATTCCCTTCTACTATCGTGGCGCAAAAGTAGCCCAAAATGATACATAAATAAACCAATGAGGCTGTGTTCCAATAAGATTTTATTTATGGACATTAGAATTTGAATCTCATGTACTTTACACATGCCACGGAATATTGTTCTTTTGATTGTTTCCAACCTTTTAATAACATAGAAATGCTTATTTCACAAACACAGGCAATTTGGTCAGGCTGGCCCGAAGACTAGCTGGGAACCCCGGTGCAGAGTTAGTTCTCCCCAACACGCAGGCGTGCACTGGGCTGGCGGCAGGACCACAGCAGTGATCCTTGGTCCCGGCTGTGTCATTCTTGTTTATGTTTGTCCACTCAGGAGTTCACTTGTCCTGCCTGAAATTTGTGGATGGCACAAGATCCTCAGGGTGCGGAAGGAACACCACCCATGGCCATTCTCGAGTTCTAAAGATCAAAAAATTACCCTAAAGGGCAGTGACATATCGGAGGGGCTGGATAAGATACCTGTCCTAGTTGCTCCGGGCTGCCATAACAAATTCCCACGAGTGGCTTAAAGCGACAGAATTTATTCTCAGTCCTGGAAGGCAGAGTTTGAGATCAAGGTGTCCGCAGGCTTGGTGTTGAGGCTGAGGGAGAATCTGGCCTGTGACGGGTTCCTTGGCTGGTAGCTGCACTGCACCAGCCTCCGCCTCCATCTTCACGTGGCCTCCTGCTCTGTGCCCGTCCCCTTCCTTCTTCTAACAGAGCTGACGCTAGATTTAGGGCCACTCCAATGCAGGGTGGCCTTAACTACAGACTTTAGTTTCAGCTACAAAAACCCTTTTTCCCAATAAGGTCACATTTTCCGGTTGCGGGTGAGCATACCTTTTGGGGGTTCACGATTTAACCCAGGACAATACTCTCAGAAGGGTTCAGAAGGACCTGGAGAATGCTATCCCCAAGGCTGGTGCTCGAAAGATCAAGTGGATGAGGGAGGAAGATGACTGGCTCAGGGCCACCCGACCAGAGCCATGGACATGGGACATGGCGTGCAACAGTCTCAACAGCGAGCGCAGAGGCGGCTGGGAATGGGCGAGCATGTGCTGAGCCGTGAGGCTCCCGGGCTCCATCGGAAGGGCCACGGCTTCTGAGCTGCCCTATTGAGCCAGGTCTGGACAGAGCCTCCAGGAGCCGCGTCCACAGTTAACCCTTTTAATGGTGTCAGAGCTTCAACACTGTCCTCATTAAAGCACCGGCCTGCATGGACTAGATAGCCTTTAAGCAGCATCTCACACCTGCACATTCACAAAGTAAGGTTTTAGGGCCTTGAACGACAAACATGCTTGTTTTCTCCCACGCAGGGGATCGGGGCCTTCAGCTCCTCCTGGGAAGCCCCTCACGCTCACTACCCTCCAACATGAAGGCTCTTCCTCCCACTCTGCGTCCTGCAGCTCCTCCCCCTCACTCCTGGGAAACCAGACCACGCAAGAGTGGACGTCCTGCAGTTACTCCATCCACACGAGGTAAGCAAGGCTAGCAGTCCGTCATCGCTGGTCTTACTGCCCTCGGCAAGCTTAGGAAAGCAATGAAAACGGGGTACACACAGACAATACTAGAGAAAAATGCTATTCAAAAGACCCAGCTCTCTCCTAAAAGAAGGGAAATTATGTAATGTGTGCGTGCATTTCATAAAAATATACAATGGAGAACCCTGAACGCCTAAAACCAAACCTCAGGAAACCAGGCCACACTTAGAA